CATCTATTTAGACTGAGATTTCTGAAATAGCCCCAAATAAATTTTCTTCCTCTAAGTTCTTGCTTCAGGTGTTTTGGTCACAAGGACTTTTAGAAAATCTAACTAAAGCACTCCTCTTAGTCATTAGTAATAACTAAGCTTATTACTTCTAATTTGGGGTTAGACTCTTTTCTTCTTTTTTTTAAAAATTTGAATGTAGAACATTGCTCTCCAAAATTCCTATTAACTAATTTCAAAACATGTTAATAATATTCAGGCATAATTTTGTGGTAGCTCTCATTAAAGTAGACCTTTGAGATTTTGCTTTTGTTTTCTTAAAATAATTTTTTTTTATATCTGGGAGTTCATCTAGTTTATCATTTACATTGTAGATTACATAACATTTATTATTTAACAGTTGTGTTATTTTAGGGATTTCATGACTAGTTAGAGCAACTGTAATTATTCTGCTTAGAATTAGGAGTTTAGAATTAAATGTTGGAGTGTCCTTTTGATGTAGACTATAAATTAGTGACTTTGGTTTTATACTACTTTTTGTTGATGTCATTTTGAAATTTTCAATTAAAGAAATCTTCCTAATTAGTATACTAATTTGTATAATACTACTAACTAATGGAGGAGAACATTTTTAGAAGTGGATTTTTTTTTTAAAGCAAACCCACCTCCCCAAGAATGTAAATGGAATTGAAATATTCACATGCAGCCATTTGCAGTATTTCAGTTGAGCTCCTGAAAATGTTCTTGCTGACCTTTCTATTCAGTTTTAACTAGATGGATCAGCACTTTCCTCTCCTTTCAGGAAGGATACTTGGCCATCTGGCTAATCATCTTAATAAGGTCTTGTGCAATAATCTCTTCTATACCACATATTTTCTGCCTTCTAAAACTAGTCAAGTTTTTAAAACAACAAATGTTAAACCAATTGACCTTTGAAAGTGATGTTATAGGATGATAGAATGCAAATGTGTATGTATTAAAATATATACTTTTTTTTTTGCAGGTGCTGGGGATTGAACCCAGGGCCTCATATGTATTAGGCAAGAGTTCTACCACTGAACTACATTCTCAGCCCATAAAATAAATATTTATTTTTAAGTAGCAGTATGAGGATTAACCAAGTATTGAAATCAATATTTGTAGGAATGTAAAAACATTTTTAAAAATTAGATAATAAAGACCCATGTCTTGGAATTGCTTCTTTTTGTTTTTTTGCTTTAAGGTTCTAATCTACCTTGTTTTAAAAAACCTTTTTCTTTATAGAACAATAGGTTAATAAGAAATTATCCTCATTTATCAGATTTATAAAAATATGGCACCCAGCTGATTAAAATCACATTTCAAAACTTAATATGGTAGGAGTTCTGTAACTACGTTAACCATTAAAACAATGTCATATTATTTTGCCTAAGCTAATTCCTTAATTGTTTCTCTCTTCTTTGTATCATTTAGATACATTTAAATGGAGAAAAATATAGACAATTAGTTTAGTTTTATCTTGATAATGAACTAATGGTTGGTTGGAAACTGTAATATTAAGTTTTAAAGTAAGCTTAAATTGGCTTCATGGGGCTGGAGTTAATAGCTTAGTGGTAGAGCTCATATTTTACATGAAAAAGCCCTTGGTTCAATCCCCAGCACCAAACAAAGAGAAAAGAAAAAGTAAAAGCATTTATAAAAGTATTATAAAAACATTTTTCTTTTATCAATAATTCTTTTACCACACAGTTTTTTGTCCCTACTAAAATAGTATGTGGATTTTTAACACATTATTCACTTAGAATTTTAAAAAGTTTAGTGTCTGATAAGTGGTTAACCAACTACAAAGGCAGTGAAGAAGAGGAGGCCTGATGAATTCTCTGTAAAAAGAACTTTAGAAATCACCTAATTCCATCTCTCATTTTCTGTTAAGGCATCAAGAGCCATCCAGAGACGTTAATTAATTGACTTTTCTGTAAGCCTGTAGATTGGTCTTATCTGAAATGCTTGGGACCAGAAGTGTTTTAGATTTTTTGGAATATTTGCAAATACAAAGACCTCAGGGATGGAACCCACCTTTAAACATTGAATTCATTTATGCTTCATAAACACCTTATACACACAGATAGAAGGTGATTCTCTACAATATTTTTAGTATGCTAGTGTTTTGATTGTGACCTGTCACATGAAGTGAGGTGTGAACCTTTCCACTAGTGATGTCTTATTGGTTCTCATATAGTTTCGGAGTTGGAGCATTTCAGATTTCTGCTTCTTCGATTAGGGATGCTCAAACTGTATGCTAGTAAGGAGCCCAAATTCTTGATTTTGATTTTTGATATTTCTTGGCCAGTGTTTTCTTGGAATGTTTTAATTTTCTTCATGATGTAGTTTATCTAATCCAGAATGTTTTACTTGTCTTCATAGTGGCTGTGTGACCAATCATAATTTTCTTCAATGACAGAAGATGTTACAGCATAGAATTCTGTAAACATTCTTTTTTTATATATTTATTTTTTAGTTGAAGGTAGGACACAATACCTTTATTTTATTTATTTATTTTTATGTGGTGCTGAGGATCGACCCCAGGCCTTTGCTCATGCTAGGCGAGGGCTCTTCTGCTGAGCTACAGCCCCAGCCCCTATAAATATTCATAATGCTTATGATTCTGCTGATCTTGGGGAGAAAGTAGATTTCTTTAAGGATAAAATAATTGTGTTAGTTTTATTAATCTGACAGTTTATGACCTTAACATAAAAATTGATTAACATGAAACAACATATGAGATTAATTTTTACTTAACAAATTTTAAATATATTGAAAGCTAGTTTTCTAATTATAGAGTTTAACTCCTCTGGGTAGCATACTTTTAAATTAGTTTGATTTAAAACAAGGGATTTTTGCTTTTCAGAGAAAAATTAGGTTTTAAAATAGCACCAGCATGTGTTTGAATGTATAAAATCAGAAAATTAATAAGTTGGTATTTTAGAAGATCCGTTTTATATTATGGATTTGGTGAGCAGTAGGTTTTTGTTTTGTTTTGTTTTAATACCTTTATTTTATTTATTTATTTTTATGTGGTGCTGAGGATCTAACCCAGGGCCTTGCATGTGCTAGGCGAGCGCTCTACTGCTGACTCACAACTCCTGCCCCATGTGTGTTTTTTTTTTCAGTATTGACATTGGTTGAGCCTAAAGTCCCATTAGTATTTGTGTTGTTTTTGTTTTGTTCTGGCTCCACCCCCCCCTTAATTTTAGAGTTTTAATAGAACCTTTATCCTTTAGAGAAACAGTACAGCCTGCAGTCTATGATTTAGTGCTGTCTTCCTCACTTCCTTGTTATTGTACCTTTCTGAATCTTGGTATCCTTGTGTGATAACTGTAGATAGTGATAACATTCATGTCCTCATAGGATTATTGGAAGAATTAAATGAGAAAACAAATAAAAAGATTCATGTTGTACCTGGCTCATTAATTGTTCAGTGCATAAAGCCCACTAATAGAGAAAACCTACCGGCATTTTAACAAAACACACTATGTGTAACTTTTTTAGCAATGTAGGTTTTATCAGTCAGTGCCCAATTATTAGTGGTAATAGAAGCTCTGTTCTTAGGATTTCAGCCAATCAAGTAAACTTGTTATTGTTTGTAGTATAAAGCATAATGATTACAGAGTAGTCCCACCTAATCATGTATTCAGGGAAATTAAAAAGCTTCTTCCTTCCTTTCAGTCATACATCAAGTTATATTGATGTGGCCTGAATATCTTTATATATTGATGCCTCTCCTTCTCCACTCCAGCATTGCCTTCATGAGCTCCCATCTCTTACCAGGACTCTTGCAACAAGTCTTTCCACTGGTCTCTTTGCCTCACATTGCCACCCTTTCCCCAAACTATCCAATATTATTTCACCACAGTGACATTCTTAATGCATGAAGGTAATGATCTCCCTTGAATATTTAGACTTTATAGTCTCCCTTTGTCCCTAGGCTGGTGAACTGTACATGGTCTGTACTTCTCCTGTACAAAATTTCTATCCAACTCCATCATTCTTCAATTTCCCTCTTGTATGCTATACCCCACGAGTACAGATGTCCTGCAGTTCTTTGAATACTAGGTGACATTTCTTACTTCCCTCCCTATCTTAGCACATTTCTCTGTGCCTTAAATCTGGACTTCTTCTTGCCTACCTTCCCTCACTCCCCGCACAGCAGATAACCAATTACATCTTCCTTTTTGCTATCAGAGTATTTTATTTTCCCCAGTGTTTTGAAATTGTTTGTCTACTTGTTAGTCCTTTCTCCTTTAGGACTAACCTAGTAAAGTACAAAGGCATATTACTCATTTTAGCATTCCTGGGGCCTAATTGCCTTTAGCATAGATAGATATTTAATAAATGGTATAGATATTGTACATGACACAAGAGTTTTTAGAGACAGAAGCTTAATGGAGGACTGAATAGTTCCATCAAGTATTTTTTAAAATGGTACGTGGGAGAAGGAATAGATTACCTTTATGTAGCTTTAGATGGCAGAAGTAACATTAATGGCAAAGTATAGTAGACTATCTGCTGGCACAGCCAGAGATTAAATGAATGAGAATGTGTGAAATGGCAGCACCATCCTGCATTTATTGAGAATCTGGAGTTAGGCCACTTGAATTATAGACCCAGCTTGGTCACTAAATTTGGACTTTTTTTTGCGTCTTAGTTTCTTTGTCTTTTGATAGAAAAATGGAGATTATACTATATTATACTATTTGTATATTTTGCATTATACTATTTGTATATTTTATAATGATTATAAGAGCTCATAATGTTTTGAGGGTAAATGAGATAACTTCTTTAGGGTGCTTAGGCTAATGCATAACATCAAATAATACATAATACATGTTCATTGGATTTGAATTTGTCTCCTATTTCTGATTGCCTTTAATAAAATCTGACTCTCATGTTAAATATAAGTAACGTATGTATGTAAACTGATACCAGTTTTTAAAAAAATTCAATTGCTGCTTTTCTCTCCAAAGATTTATCCATTGTACTGATGATTCTCCAGATCCTTGTATGGAATATGGGGTAAGAAGCTTTGTTTTTGCCTTAATGACATTGATGATCCTAAATGAAGATGTATTGAAAGTTTCTACTTAACCGAATGGAATTTTTTGGATTGATTTCTATAGAAAAAACTGAGAACCCCTGAATTTTTAAATTTATGAAATGTAGGATACATATGAAAGAATATGTATTATTGGTAGAATATTTATATACCAAATATATATAGCATACATAAACTTATAGAATTTATACTTCCCACCCAGATGAACCTGGTTAAGTTTTTAAACCTGATATGCCAGGAAAATTAAGTTTTTCTTATACACACTTTTAAAATATTGTTCACTCACATCTTAGAAATAATTTTGAAGTAAGAGTGAAAGATAGTGAACAAGACAACTCTTATTAGCTATTTTCACGATGTTAAGCATAGTAAACCTCAATTTTTATTTCATGGTTTCCTAGTTTTGAAAGTGTACACATGTGCAGACACCTGGAATGGGCCATGTTCTTCAGTGCAGCTAATAACTCATTGAGAGTCATGGGTGAATCTGGAACACCCCCACATACACATTTTTTTTTTAAATGTTTTCCATCCCTGGTAGGCTGTCACTTACCATCACTTCTGGTAATTCTTGTATTTGCATTCGCAGAATATAATACTTAACGAAAAATTTGTTAAAGAGACGATGGTTATCTTGCCTACATAATTGCTATACACTTTTATTTGGATTTATAATACCAATTAGAATTAGTATGGTGATTTTTAAAACTTTTCTTCATTGTCTTTTGCTTCTGAATACTTGTATACATGCATGCTCTGAAAATTGCCTACTGGGATGGGGATATAGTTTAGTGGAAGAACACTTGCCTAGCATGTAGGAGGCCCTGGGTTCCATTTCTAGAACCACACACATGTAAAAAAAAGTCTACCTGTTCACTGTATTGAATATTTTTACTCTGTTTCTTAGTGCACTGTAATTGAGATCTTTACACACTACTTGTGTAAGTTTTTTCACCTTATACCATCTGAAAGTATTTCCCATGTTATTATACAGCCTTTTATAACATTATTTGTATTTATGTAATATATTCATATCTGCTATTTTATTGAACAAACATCTGTTAATGAAGCACCTGTTACTGTCTTATTACTTTGTGCTGGGAATAAAAAAATGAGGAAATTTTATTTTTTATTTTTAGCCTTTCCCTGAGGAATAATCTTTGTTGAGACGTTATCATTTATCCCCAAGATGTATTTACCAGAATTTGTTCTTTTATTGCTTTTTAGGGATTATACCATCATCACCTTTCTTGAGGGTGTGTGTGTACTCTCTTTATAAATATTTTGCATTATATGTTAACTTTCTTTAAACTTATAGTGTAAGCATTTTCCCAGGTCATTAATTTTCAAATAACATGATTTTTAGTGGCTGCTTATCTTATACATTTGCTGTTTTACTTGGCAAACAAATTTCTCATGCGGCTGCTAAGTATTATATACAGAAAGATGAGTAAACCTGCTTCCTCACCCTTAGGGAGCTTGCAAGTTAGTGGAGAAGAGAGACTTGTATATTAATTTGATTATTAGACATTGTATGTGTATATATATATATATACACACACACACACCCCTCCTTCCTCCCAGCCCTGAAATTATTTTATTAATATTCCTACAGGGATGGAGAACATGTAAATTACAGAGCAACTTATAGCACAGTGGCAATATGATTTGACTTGGTTATCTATCCTTGCTGTTGGGTATTATGTCAGAACTCTCAGAATGATGTGACAAAGATGGATCTTGTCCTGAAGAGTTTCAGCATAATTTTTCTTTTTTTCTTTCTTTGGAATGATAGACTATAGCCCTTGCCCTCATGTCAAGCTTGTCTTATGGTACTGCTCTTTCCCCCTTTTAAAATCATTTTTTAATAGCAGCTGTTAGGGATAGTCTTGTTAGGAAATTGTCTTAGACCTTGCCTAGTTGTATCACATTTTTTCCTTTGTGTATAGCTTGTTCTCCGAAAATGGTGTGAATTAATTCCTGGAGCTGAGTTCCGATGTTTTGTCAAGGAAAACAAGCTTATTGGTGAGTTCTTTCTATCTTTGAAAGTATTTTTTAAAAGAAGAAAACCATGTTGCCTTAAATATCAGTATTTCTTTTTATGGCTGAATAGTATTCCATAGTGTAAATATGTTAATTTGATTATTAGACATTGTATATAGGTTTTAAAACATCACATTGTACTTCAAAGTATACAATTACTATGTATCAACTAAAAATAAAAAATAAAATCAAAGAGAAGACAAGTTTTTTTAAAAAAATATTTTTAGTTATAGATGGGCAGAATACCTTTGTTTTATTATTTATTTTTATGTGGTGCTGAGGCTCAAACCTCAGGGACTCAGTCGTACTAGGCAAGTGCTCTACCACTGAGCTACAACCCCAGCCCAAAGACAAGCTTTTGATGGAAATACATTTCTAGTAATTACCACAGGGTTATCAGTCAGTTTTAATTTCAGATGCCACCTCTACCCAATTGATACTGACTCTCTGGAATGCTATGCTGACAAGGATCCTGAGCCCATAATCAGTTTCCACAGAAAAAGGTAGTATTGTTGATTAATCATGTCTGTCTGGATTCCAGAGATGAAAGTGGTGGTTATTATGATTTCCAATTTGACATTGTATGATGTTACCTTCTTTCTGTTTGAAACTTTCCAAAAGTATTACTAGCAATAGCTTATTAGAAAGCATCACAAAAACCTGAGTTTTTGAACCTTTATTTTTATTATTGGGACACTGTTCATTATTCCAGCAAAAGAAAATATGTGGGAAAACAAGGAAGCTATTCTAAAAGTCACCCATATTCTTTTCTTTCAGGTTATTTTTTATGTTTGTTCTGATTATTCAAGTTAAATATTGAAGATTGTGTGTCCTTAAATTTTTAGTTATGCATGTTTCCTGAGAAGTAAAACATATGATCAACCAAGAGAAGTGTAATTTAATCAAATCAAATGAATCATATTCATTAAATATGATGTTGATACTTATTAACATAGCTGAAGGAGACTTGGGGCATTCAAATTTGTCATATTGTTAGATATTCCTGGAAAAACTAGAGAATAAATGTGCTAAAGACAAGAGTCATATTGGCATGTGATGAAGGAACTGGAAGCCCTTATTTCAGAGCAGACATCTTTCCCTAGGACTTAAGCATATTGCGGGAATTCATACTGTAGTCCCTCAAGTGTATTTGGAATCATATCAGCAAAGGCACTTTGCAAAAGGGGAATATTTACTTTTCCATAGCTTGAAAGACCAGTGTTGTGAAGGCCGAATAGCATGTATAAACAAGAAAAGTAGACTGTTTCTATGAAATAAAATATGAATATTGCAGACATATGGTGAGGGATATTTTAAATTTTCACCAAAACAGTGGAAGATAACTAATTTGTGGAAACTTTCTTGGAAAAAAATCAAATCAGTTGAATGTATGCAGGTTTAAATAGCTACTTTAAATTTTCTCTTAGCAAGCTTTTTTGTGTCTAAATTCTTTATGTTGTGCTCAAAAAAATACTTCCAGAAGTAAGAATGTGTGGCAATATTGAACTGTAGGATTCCTCTCTATGTGTAATCTTGACACCTGAATAATGTTTAATGCAATTTTCATCTGATTGAACTTCTGACCTACTTTAATGATTGTCTCAAAAAAGTTTAAATTACATCTTGTATTTTTTTAAGAATATTGTATAATAACAATATAAAATATTTTCTTGTCAGGTATTTCTCAGAGGGACTACACACAATACTATGATCATATTTCTAAACAAAAGGAAGAAATTTGCAGATGCATTCAAGACTTTTTCAAGAAACACATACAGTATAAATTCTTAGATGAAGATTGTGAGTATTTTTAAATTTACCCAATGAAATGAAATAAAGTACATAATATTACTGGACCTTATTTCACCAAGGTGCATATTTTAAAAAATGGGACTATTGTATGAGGACTGGGGGTGAAGCTTGATGATAGAGCACTTGCCCAGCCTGCTATAGGCCCTTTTTCAGTTCTCAGCACTAAAAAAGAAAAAAAAAAAATTTTATTTAAAGTACTGCATTTTACTATATTACTAATTGATATTTCTCATGGTTTGCATGTTAATTTTCACCTTATTTAATTGAAATTCATTTCTAATACCAAAACCATTCTCTCTCCTGTCATTTTAGATGTTCAAATATTTCATAGGGTCCATCTACAAAAACCAGACCTATATTTCATAGAGTCCATCTATAGAAACCAAATTCTGTGAAGTAAACATTTGTGGGTTGTTTTTTGGATATTGAAAGTACATTGTAAGAGAATTTCCATGCATCTTAAAATTGATATCTTCTATGCTTTACTTTTTTTCCTCCTTGTCAAGACTGGGTTCTGTGGCCGACTTATTTTCAAAAAGATAAATCATGCCATTAGCATAATTAGATTTTATGCTTTTGTATGATAAATTTTACTCATTTCATTCCTCAAATAAATGACAGATTCTCCTTTCATGAGTACTTTTCTTTTTTTTTTATTGGTTGTTCAAAACATTATAAAGTTCTTGACATATCATATTTCATACATTAGATTCAAGTGGGTTATGAACTCCCATTTTTACCCCAAATACAGATTGCAGAATCACATCGGTTACACATCCATGTTTTTACATAATGCCATATTAGTAACTGTTGTATTCTGCTACCTTTCCTATCCACTACTATCCCCCCTCCCCTTCCATCTTCTCTCTCTACCCCATCTGCTGTAATTTAATTCTCTCCCTTGTTTTTTTTTTTTTTTTTTTCCCCTTTCCCCTCACAACCTCTTATATTTTGTATAACAATGAGGGTCTCCTTCCATTTCCATGCAATTTCCCTTTTCTCTCCCTTTCCCTCACACCTCTCGTCTCTGTTTAATGTTAATCTTTTTCTCATGCTCTTCCTCCCTGCTCTGTTCTTAGTTGCTCTCATTATATCAAAGAAGACATTTGGCATTTGTTTTTTAGGGATTGGCTAGCTTCACTTAGCATAATCTGCTCTAATGCCATCCATTTCCGTGCAAATTCCATGATTTTGTCATTTTTTAGTGCTGAGTAATACTCCATTGTGTATAAATGCCACATTTTTTTTTATCCATTCATCTATTGAAGGGCATCTGGGTTGGTTCCACAGTCTAACTATTGTGAATTGTGCTGCTATGAACATCGATGTGGCAGTATCCCTGTAGTACGCTCTTTTAGGGTCTTCAGGGAATAGTCTTGAGAAGGGCAATAGCTGGGTCAAATGGTGGTTCCATTCCCAGCTTTCCCAGGAATATGAGTACTTTCCTTGTTGACAACTTTCCTCATTCCTGTATGATAAGTTATACAGTGGTGAACTACTTGACTTGATATTGGTGTTTGGTTTGACTTTTTAAATATAAGGGGTTTTTATAGTTGGGGATAGAGAATATTATATAAGTACTTATTAAATAAAACACTGCAAGGGTGCCTTTTTATATTTGATGTTTTGAGATTTAGAAGCACTAAATACTCAAGGTCCATTCTGTTTTTAGTAATGAAATGCATTTGAGGTTTAAATCATGAAAATACTAATTCATTAATAACTGAGTTTTTTCTCCTTTCCAGTTGTTTTTGACATATACAGAGACAGTAGGGTAAGTACATGCTATATTTGACATGTTTAAAATGAAGACTGGTCTTATAAGCAAGCCAGAGCACATATTTTATTATTTAAGGGTCTACTACTCAAAAAATGCATTCCCAAACAACTAAGGTGTGTGAAATTCACAATGGTCCAGAATTTTCCTTGAAGGTATACTTAACATGAGGAGACATAATGTCTTAATTATGTGCTGCAGGTTTAGGGATTATTAATCAAACAGGTAGGTAATGTCTACCTTACTCTACTTTATATTTTGGTCAGAGGTGTGGGACCTACTTAAAATAGTTCATTTTGCATTCTTAAAAGGCCAGGAATTTTTTATTAGATATTTTGGTAATTATTTTTAACCAACTGCAAGAGCCTTTGTATGATTTGAATCACTTTTCTCTTTAGACTAAAAATGAGGTTAAGTTTACATTTTAAAGTGTTTTACCCTTAATCAATTTAAAATTTCTTAAATTTAAATTAGTATTTTTAGCTGCTATATAGAAACGTAAAAATTACGCATGTGCATAGGGCATTGTGTGGTATTTTGATACCTGTTTACATTGTGTGGTGTATAAATCAGATAAGCACCACATATGGGGGTAGTCATAGATTCACATAGGTGAAGTCATGTGGTCATTGTCTTTCTATGCTTGGCTTATTTCACTTAACATGTGAGGCTCTTCGTATCTTTCCATGTTATCACAGATAACAAGTTTTCATATCCTTTTGTGGCTGAATAGTATGTCATTGTGTATCATATTTTCTTTATTGACTTATCAGTTGATGAACACTTGGGTTGCTTCCATTTCTTGGCTATTGTGAATAGCCCTGCAGTGAACATGGAGTGCTGATGTCTGTTGGCATACTGACTTCATTTCCTTTGGATATGTACCCAGGAGTGGGATGCTAGATGGTATGGTAGTTCTAGTTTTAATTTTTCGAGAAATCTCCATACTGTTTCCATAATGGCTGTACTAATCTACCTTCCCACCAACAGTGCACAGGGGTTCTCTTTTCTCCAAGTCCTTGCCAGCGCTTTCTGCCTTTGATACTTGCCATTCTGACAGGAGTGAGGTGATATCTCATTGTGGCTTTAATTTGCATAACTAGTGATTTGTGATGTTAAGTATTTTATTTTTTTATATTATCTATTGGCCATTTGTATATCTTCTTTTGAAAAATGCCTTACATTCTTTAAATCATAAAAGTGACATGAACTTAAGTGACAAGAAAACAAAAGCTTGACATAGTAAAAAATTCCTTCAGCAGAGATTTCCTTGTCTAAGACATGTAATCTTTTTAGAGAGGTTTAGGTCACTGTACATCATCTTGTGATTTCTGCCCATTGACTCAGCTGTTAAGGAGATCACAGGTGTGTTTTCTAATATGTTACCCATACACTGGCAGAGTACTTTTCAGTCTCCCTCCATGCACATGTCAGCCTTCTGGCAGTGATGCGTGTGATACCTTTGAGTCACTGTTTGAGCAAAAGGTTGTGACCCATTGGATCATGTCCCCAAATGACTGTAAACTGTGTAAGCTATTAAATCAAAAGACATTGCTGTATTTTCACCTCTCTGCAGAATTGATGGTATAAGACTTTGAAAGAGGGTCTATAAAATGAGACTCAGCAAAGAAGCGGGATGTTACTTGGCAGAGTTTCTACTGTGTGGAAACAAACTGTAGAAAAGCATGAAAAGCTGGTGTGATGGGATGGACAAAAATGGGATCTAGAAGGCTCTTGCCCTGGCTCTGCTTCTGACTTGTAGACATTGCCAAGTCAGACCACTGATGGAGCCAACAGTATGAGAATCTGAAACATGCTATGCTTCTAACAGGAAGCTTCAAACAGGTTTACTTCCGTCCTAGAAGGAATTCATCTTCAAGTGAGGGTGACAGCCATGTAAACATCATAGGGAATGGCTGGTGGCGAGCAGTGTCAGAGTAGTTAGTTAGCAGTTAGCACCCAGCTCATTGTCCAGAAGGGCTTTATCCTCATTTAACTCAATTCTCACTTAATCCATCTAAGCCTGTGAAGTATATATTATCTGCCCACATAGTATAGACACTGAAACTGAGGCAGTTGAAATTGTTGGAACTTGCCAAGGTGTTTTAATATATCCCTGGCAGATGTTGTGGTCTTCTGTAAATCAGTAGGGCTGACAGGTAGATGTAGATGTTTAACGTGGTAAAAGAGTTAAGGAATGTCTTAAAGTGATGTTGGACATATGCATAACTAATTACTGCTATGATCTTGCAGAACTAAAACTAGTTACATTTTTAAAAGTGAGAAACATGCCAGTATAAACATCCTGACAATTTCTGTTAAGAGATTCAAACCATATTGTAAAATTCATTTGCATTTACTCAATGGCACGTGTATCAGAGTTTGTTAGACACTTGCTTGAATATATTATTTTGTGACTATTCTTATAGAAAGCTAAGTCTTCATGAAATATAACTGAAGTGTGTTTGGACTTGGCAGCACTTTGTTGTGGCTGCTTTCCTATGACTGGAGAAGTTGACTCAGTTTTGATAGGTTCTAACCAGCCTATAAATGTCCCTTTGATGGCCCATCCATTCAGTAAGATTGTTATTAATTTTTTTAATTAATTTTATTAATTTTTACTTTCATTGCTTTACAGGCTGAGTAACTCTGATCTTGAGTCTTGGTATTGTCAAAATTGGCTTTGCAATTTGGTCACTCTTGTGAATGTTCTGTGTGTGACTGAAAAAGAAAGTACAATTTCTAATTCATGAAGTATTCCACAGATGTCTTTAGATTAAGCTTGTTTATTAATTTTATTTTTAAAAAATATTTATTGTTTATTTGTAGTTGGACATAATACCTTTATTTTATTTATTTTTATCTGGTGCTAAGGATCGAACCCAGGGCCTCACATGTGCTAGGCAAGTGTGCTACTGCTGAGCCACAACCTCAGCCCCGAAGCTTGTTATAATAATCTTCTATATTTTACAGATGATATGCTGTTTGAGGATTCATATAAAATAATACACATTCAGGAGGAGTGGATGGGAATATAGATGAAACAGTATAGGTCATGAATTGATATGTTGAAACTGAGTGGGAGGAAATGGGGTTCCTTATGCTGTTTTTCTACTTTGATATATTTTCACTTTTCCATACCTTTTTTTTTGGCAGCGGCAGTGGGGGTGTACCAGGGATTTAACTCAGGAGTACTTGGCCACTGAGCCACATCCCCAGCCCTATTTTGTATTTTATTTAGAGACAGGGTCTCACTGAGTTGCTTAGTGCCTCACTTTTGCTGAGACTGCTCAGCCTCCCAAGCCACTGGGATTACAGGTGTGCACCACTGCACCTGGCCTTCTATACCTTTTTGTTATGGTGCTAGAGCTTTGTATGTGCTAGACAAGCACTTTGCCATTGAGCTGTACCCCAGACTTCAGATCCAGTTTCTTTCTAGTATAGTACATCCTTTAATAGTGCATCCCCCTCATGCATTGGCTGAAGTTGTTATTCCTCTTTCATGTGTGAGTGGTAGGCATTAGCTGGGTATAGAATTTTCAGTTGACCAGTTCTGTTGCCTTAGCACATTGAAGACATTGTCCCATTGTTGTTTGGCTTGGCTTTTCCTTTCTCTGCTTTGTTTTTCTTTGCCTTTCTTTTCACTCTTTATTTTTGTCTGCCTTTTTTGTTAAGCTAAGTCTAGGAACTCATTTCCTTTACCAGTTGTAGAGAATTCTCAGCTCTTATGTTTTCAGATGTCATCACTTTTCTCTCTCCTGTCTTTTTGGAGTTCTGCAGGGAGGCATGTTAGAGCTTCTCACCTTATGCTCATGTCTCTTCTCCTTTTCTGCCTCTTTTTCTGTCCTATGCTGTATCATTTTCTCAGGTACATCTTCTTTTGCTAGCTCTCTTTGAGTTTTGTGTAATCTGATGTGTTTGACTGTTCAGTTTTAAATTTCATCAGCTGCATTTCAGAAGGTTCTATTTAATCCTTTTTCAAATCTGCCTGTTTTTATCATAGTTTCTTATGTCCTGGTGTATTGATTCCTTTTATATTTTCAATCACTTAAAACTGCTGATTTTTGAGGGTCATGCTTTTGAGAAATAATTTACATAGACTAAAATTCATCCTTTTTACTGTGGAGGTGTGTCTTGACAAACACCCAGTTGTGTAACCAACACTAAGTGTGAAGATGGAGAAGTGCTCAGTCTCCCCGCTCATGACCGTTCCTGTTCCCCAGCCCCTGTACTATTTTTAAGTTTTTAATTGACAATACATTCACATAGTTTGAAAATCAAATCTGCACCTTGCTTTTTTCACTATTTGAAAGCACTGTCTCTTGTAGAACTTTCCAGTTTTTTTGTTTTTATTTTTTTGCAACTCTGAGGATCATATCCAGGGCCTCGTGAATACTAGGCACATGATCCACCACTGAGCTACATTCCCGAGCCCTGCCATTTTCTTCCAGTGTGTAGTATTTCAGTTTTTGAATATTCTATATAGTTTGTTTAACCACTTCCTCGTTAATGGTCACATAGGACAACACAGGTTGTTTCTTATCTTCACAATCTATACAGAGGTGAATAACACTGTACACTTCGTTTCATATATGTGCCCATTTATCTACAAGGATAAATTATTTGAAGTGAGATATTGACTCAAAAGTTATATTATTTTAATTTTGAGATATTACAGTTTACCTTTCATAGAAGTTATACCAAACAAAACCCCACCCAGAATTTATGATGGAACCTATGTGTTTCTTCAGAGCTTGCGAAATTCAGACTTTTTTTTTTTTTTTTAGTTGGGTTAAAAAAATGATGTTTCAGTATAATTTCAATTTCTCTTTTTCTTATTGAATAAGAATGAAGTATATCTTTTTATAAATTTAAGGGTCATTTGTGAGAATTATTGCTTTATGTTTTTTTCCAATTTTTCTTTTTTATTTTCCTTAAAATATAGGTCATCTTTATTACAGGAATTAGAATAAAGTTGTCTTTATTGTTCCTCAGGTTGATGATGATTTTTCCAAGTTCTTGGCTTTAATCCCTATTGTATTTGCAGACTCTCATCCATGTTCTTTCCTTTTGACTTTATAGCTCTTCAGTGACTTTTTTTTTGTGAGCATCCCAAAGATCCTAAAGTTTGAATTTTCCGTTTGTTTTTCCTGTGATCCCCAAAACCTCATCAGAGAAAGACATCATTATTTCCTGTTCCCATCATTAGAATTTTTTTCTTATGCTCTCTTCACAGGTCATAGCCCTCTGGTGTCACTTCCTAGTCCTAAGACCTTTCCTCATGGCAAGTCTCCTAGTCCTGTGTGCTACTAACACCTGTGCCGTGGGTTCCTGGGAGGAAAGCTGTCCCAAGGGCTCTGGCAGCTCAGTTTATACTCATCTGTTTTCTTAGTGTTCTTCTTTGCTTCTAGTTCCTGGGGATTCCTCTTTGTCATGATCACAGCTCTACATTTAAAGGGATAATTTTAACCTGAATTTCATCCAGCTTGGAGCAGAAGGCTTTTAAAGTTACCTTAGCCCACCACATTTATGGAGCCCTCATATATTTCATACTCTTAGCCAAAATAATCTATTCCCAGGATGGGTCATCCTCACATAGTCTTTGTATGTGTTAATTTTTATTATTCTGGTTGTTTTCCTCCTAAATGGTTGCTTTTCCTTTCATCCTCCCCTCTCAGATCTTTAACACAATTATTCTTTAAATTCTCAGTTACCTTGGAAAGTGTTTCTAGTCAGGTTCCCCCATGCTCCTCTGTTGTCTCTCAACACCCTGTTTTTGCTCCTGTCAGAGCAGTACCCTCTGTGTTGTAACCATTGGATGGTTTTCATGTTTTTTGAGGGGACAGGGTGGGATTCTGAGCTCATTGAAGGAATAGATTCTGTGTAATACTGATCCTTATAGCTCAATCTCTAGCACAATGTCTGATTCACAGAAGAGATTGATTTGGGCTGATGGTCATTTGGTTGGTATGAAGAATACTGGGTTGACTGCTCTTATCAGAATTACTGAAATAGAATTACTTTCTCAGGATGCCTTGTGCCTGAGATATCGATGAAAAACAGGTTACCTCTAAAAAATCCTAATTCTCATAGTTTTATGCCTGACTATAGCCATTTGATTTTATTATTTTGCACTAGAGGATGGCTCCTGAACTCTAGAGCAAACCTTGCCAGCTAACAGTGGTGGTTTGTTTCTCGATTTTGTTTTTTGCAGTGTGGCATGTTTTAGTTCATAAAGCTCAGCTCCTATACTAACAGATACAGTGGTGGAGTTTTATTGCTTTTAATAATGAGGTGGTTTTATTTGTTATAAAAGTCAATAAAGGAACTGGGATTGTGGTTTAATGGTAGAGCACTTGCCTTGCATACACAAGGCTCTGGATTCAATCCCTAGCACAAAGAAAGGATGGAAGGAAAGAATGAAGGAAGGGAGGGAGGGAGGGAAGGAAAGAAAGGAAAGAAGAGAAAAGAAAAGAAAATCCAGTAGAGAGGGTTTGGAGGTTAGAAAATATCCATTGTAAAAATAATATACAGTATAATAATGTATCAGTAATAGAGCCCCCAAACAAGCTGACATCATGTCAAGATATTAATTGGTAGCTAATATTATTTCACATGTCCAAGAATGTACCCTCTGTGTTGTAACCATTGGATGGTTTTCATGTTTTTTGGGGGGGACAGGGTGGAATTCTGATCTAGGCTGAGCTCATTGAAGGAATAGATTCTGTGTAATGCTAATTCTTATAGCTTAATCTCTAGCACAACTGAAGTGAGCTGAACTGAAGTGAGCAAACAACTCAAGCGGCAAGATAATCTGTAGGATTTTTCCTGGGAATTATATAAAATCAGAACATTACCCATGTGACCCATGGCAAAAATGTCTTGTATTTGTTCTGTGTCACTCACTAGGGGTTTCTGACATTTGAAGTAAGTGCTAGTGAGATGTCTCATCTTTGCTATAATTTTGCTTTAATCCAGGTGAGGAACTGTGAGAGGCTCACCAGTTTCACTCCTTAGGTGTGTCTGATTTTACACACACACACATCTGGTCAAGATGGCATCTGTACATTATAGACAAAACCTAGTTATTATTAGCATCAAAACAATGCAGATATATGAATGCCAGTGAGAAAACCAAGAGTAGCAAAGATAAAAACTTCAAGGAAGAGTCTATCCATTCTGCACGCCTTATCTTAGTGATGTAGCATGTGGTTCTGGTTTCTTGGGGGCTTATACACATTCCCACTTGTTAGCTCAGAGCTGGCCAGTTCTGGCTCACATGCACCTGACTCTAGCCCAGGCAGTCTGACCAGATAGGAGACATTTCTTTCAAAGGTAGATGCATTTTTTCATCTCCTTTTCATATGCTGTCAAGCTTTGTCATACTTAAAAAACAAATACTAGGTTAACTTTTAAAGAAAGCAATTTTTCCATACTTCCTTTAGTATTTCTTTTTAAATCCACTCACAGCAGCTGCCCAAAACCTTTCAGGTGCTCTGAGAGCCACCAACTCCCTGCCTGCCTGTGCTGGCTTCCTCCTCACAGTGGCGTTAAAGACATCCTGGAAAGCATTTCATTCACATCATGTATGGCAAGTGAACTTTTTGCAAGATCTTCCTTTTTTCCTGCTTGGATTTTTTGACTTAAGATTCTAATGTGAGGGCTGGCAATGTGACTCAAGCGGTAGCGCACTCTCCTGGCATGCGTGCGGCCCGGGTTCGATCCTCAGCACCACATACAAAGATGTTGTGTCCGCCGAAAAATAAAAAATAAATATTGAAAAATTCTCTCTCTCTCTCTCTCTCAAAAAAAAAAAAAAAAAGATTCTAATGTGACTTGAGGCGGGAGTTGGAAGATAGGTCTTCCTTCCTGAGTCCCTTCTCTCTGCAGTCATAGGCAACCTTCCCTTTACATCTGTGTCTACTTTATTTAGACAAATGGCCCTTTCTCAGATGGGACCTGGAAGAATTATATCTTTTGAAATAAGTCATAAGATTTGTAAGATTGTCCTTGACAGAAAATAATATCAAAAGTATTTTTCTTTAATAAGACAGTATAGACTGTGTTCTTATTTTATACTTATTTGTCTTTTGTCTGTACTACAGGGGAAGGTGTGGCTAATTGATTTTAATCCATTTGGTGAAGTCACAGATTCACTACTGTTTACTTGGGAGGAACTGATATCTGGAAAAAACTTAAAAGGTGATTTTAGTGAAGGAGATGCTCAGGAGCAGGTAAGACTTTATTTTTTAAGATATAAAGGCAACCTTTTTAATCCACTGAACAATCACTTGCTTACTTTTTAGACACATGGCATATAAGTAACTTGGACCCTTGGGAAGTAGAGTATAGCACAGGTTTACCAATAGTTACTTGATCATGGAGGTGATTAAAGAAAGGTATACATTGTGATTCATTCATGTAACTTTTTTTTTTTTTTTTGCCATCCTGGGGATCAAACCCAAGACTTTGCACATACTGAAGCAAGTGTTTCCTGGTCCCTCGTTCATTTAACTTTAAAGAAATAATGGTCGTCTGATATATATTTTTCTAGTTTGTTTTCTCTTTTTTAGTTTCCTCTCTTATGCCCACCTGAATAATCTTAACATATCTGTTTACTTGACCCCGAATCCTAGCTGCTTGATGCTGATGGAGAACATTCGCCTATGTGCATGTGCAGAGCAGTGCTCTTCTCATTCATGGTCTCCAGTTTTATGAGTTTCCCTGGTCAGCTTTCTCTTCCATGGTCCTTGGGGGCTAATCTGCACCTTCTCCCTGCTCAGGTCTCCCATCTGTCACTACTCTCCCCCCTCTCATTTCACTTCCTTCATAGGAAAAGAAAATCCACTCATGAGAATTCATCTGGTTGAATTGTCATCAGACCTACAGACTTAGCTGCCCCACTCCAAGTCTGATTTTTTTGTCTGCTCAGCTTAGCACCCCCCCATCTCTTGTACTATTTTTTCAGGTTCTCTTTTTCTGTTAACTCCTGTCCCTCAGGATTTAGCCATGTTCAGATATCTCCCACCTTAAAAAAAAAAAAAGAAAAAGAAAAAAAGTTTTCTTCAATCATATTTGCTCACCCAGCCATGCTTCCTTTCTCCCATCTTCACAGCTATATTTTCTTTAAACAACGATTTTGTATTTTTTTTTTCCTGCCTATAAAAGTAATAGTGTGTTTGTTTTTGAGACAGGGTCTCACTAAGTTGCCAAGGCTGACGACCTTTAGGAGGTTCGTGTGTATGTGTATATGCATGTTATACACCATAATATAAATGGTGGTTCTCAGATTTTAGGATCATAGATGATTTTATGATTTTCTTTCTTTTTAAAAATTTTTTTTTTTTAGACATAGATGGACCTTTATTTTATTCCCTTATTTATATATGGTGCTGAGAATTGAACCCAGTGCCTCACACATGCTAGGCAAGTGCTCTACCACCGAGCCCCAGCCCCAGCCCCTGATTTTCTTTTAAAAACGTGTGTGTAGCGGGTGCAGTGTTCAGGTCCTGTAATCCCAGCAATTTGGGATGCTGGGACAGAAGAATTGAGAGCAGTCAGTATATAATTTAGTATTATCTAGTGAGCATTGTATATCTTTTAAAAATATAGTTTAATAATCATTTAAATGTATGTAAATATAGTTTACATAATCATTTAAGAAAACAGAATTAGAGGCAGGACTTGAAATCCTCACCGCTTCAGCGAGTGCTTTCTGGGCTCTTTTTGGTATGAATATGCACATGGACTTTTGCATAGGTAGGAACACAGTAGTTACCCTCATGCTGTCACAGGACTTGTTCTTCTTAGCCCACTCAGTGGCTGTGTATCAGCACATCAGGGTTCCATGGATGGTGATCTCCCTCCTGCCTGTTGCTGTTCAACTCCTCATCCCTCTGCCAGTGGCTTTTGCCCTTCCTCTCAGCTGAACCTGCTCCCAGCAGGGGCTCTAGTGGCTTGCTGGGAATTGCAGTGACTAGCACAGTCCTCCTTTTACTGAACCACTGGCAGTACCAAATACAGTGCCCTCTTCCTTGTTACACTGCTTCTTCCCTGGCTTCTGGAACGCGTGCTCTCCTCTTCCATCTCTTTCTGCTTTTTTAAGTTGCTTCTGCATCTTCACTGAGTACATCTTTTGCCCATCTATCCAACATTTCCTTTCATCATGCTTTGTCCTGGACCCTCTTTGGCCCTGTTTTTCTAGCTCTGAGTTAGTTCAATATTTGGAACTTGGCCTTACTGTTCAAATTGCTTGTTGATTTACGTATGTTCTGCATTATACGGTAAGTTTCTGAGAACAGGGATACTGTCTCTTCTGTTCTCAGTGCATCTGCAGGACTTACCAAAATGTCAGGTACTATGAATGTTGTCCAATTAAAAATGAAGGAATTTGGCCGGACACGATGGCACATGCCTTTAATCCCAGCAGCTCAGGAGGCTGAAACAGGAGAATTGCAAGTTCAGAGCCAGTCTCAGCAACTCTGCGAGGCCCTAAGCAACTTACCAAGACCCTGTTTCAGAATAGAAAGTTTTTAAAAAGGGCTAGGGATGTGGCTCAGTGGTTAAGCACCCCTAGATTCAATTCCTGGTACTAAAAAAAAGGAGGAGGAATTTTATCCCTGCTGGTGTATTACTGTAGTGAACCATTAAACCTAAAGATAAGGAAGGAGAATCTAAGTTATTCAGCACAGATGTTAATTGTGTGAGATTAACTCTGATCCAAAGTTTTTATTTATTCTAAATGGTAGAGGTAAGGGGTATACAAAATGGCTCCTCCCAGCTTGTCTCCTCCTGCTTGGTCTTTCCAAGTTCAGACCACAGACAACTGGTCTTCCCTTTGTTTTGCAAAGCTATGAAGCCCTACGTTGGGTTGAGGTCTTTGCACTAGTTTTTTCCACTGCCACCAGAGCCTGCTCTGCACCCAGACTTGCAATGCTGCTTTCACCACCCTGTCCACTTCTCAGCAAGCTCCTACTTGACCGCTCATCTGAAGTAGTCCACATTGTTATCCTCTTAGTACATCACCCTGGTTCTTTGTTTCCATAGCACTTTCTTCTTTTTCTTTTTTTTTTTTTTTGTGTGTGTATGTGTGTGTGTGATGCTGGGGATTGAACCCAGTGCCTTATGCATGCAAGGCAAGCTCTCTACCAACTGAGCTGTATCCCCAGCCCCATATCAGTTTTTATTATCTGAAATGGTTTTGTTTACTTACTCTTATTTGCCTTCCAATCTTGTTTACCAGTTTGTCTCCTACACCTAAAACAATTCTAGCACACAGTAGATGTTTTAGCTGCCAAGTATGTTCTGTCTGTCATCAGATCTGACCCTCTTTCTAGGTCTTGTCTTCCATCTCCACTGAGTTATCTGACACCAGGAAGCCAAACCCAAGGCTTCTTGTCTCTGAAATTCTTTTTGGTACAAAACAGCATGTAACTATTATATGCAAAACTCTAAGCAAAAGAATTACAGTAAGAAATGAATATGAGGATTTTAAAATTATGATTCTTGAATTTTTATGTAATTGATGAGAGAGATATAAGTAAGTCCAGTGGTCTAAGATAAGTACAAAAGTGACATGAAATCCAAAGCACTCAATTACCCTCATTATTAATTATCATTTTCTAAAATAGTACTTCTCAACTGTACACCTATAGGAAATAATATTTATAAGTATTCTGGCCTATATGAGATTGCTTGAGGCCAGAGATGGCTGGATGTAGGTCCTCGGTCCACTGAGAGGTCATAACCTAGATCCATAACCTACCTTTAGCATACAGTGGCTACACTGTGGTAGCATTTAGTGGGGGGACCTAGTTCTCCATTGGATTCTGTTTTCAGATACCTTATACTTACTTTCTAGTAAATATGTAGAATTATTTTAGAATCTTGGTGCATTCTTCTACTTTAAAATCTTATTTCTTTCTTATGTAGTAGAGAAGAGAACATGGAATTGAAATTTATATGCTAACCTAGTTTGGAGAATAGATAATACTTACAGACTTTTTTTAAATTTTTTTCTTCATAAAGGATTCTCCAGCTTTTCGTTGCACAAACAGTGAAGTTACAGTACAGCCCAGCCCTTATCTGAGCTACCGACTGCCCAAGGACTTTGTAGACCTCTCCACTGGGGAAGATGCTCACAAACTAATAGATTTTCTTAAGTTGGTAAAGTATATGTATATTTATTATGACGCTCATCTCTCCCGTGGGCTTTTATTGGATGATTATCAATTAAAGGATTAGAATTACTGGATTAGATCATTTTGCAATGGAATATGAGTGAAGGAATGAATGATTTATTGATTAGAATGGCAGAAAATGTTTTTATGGTATGCATGCTTTTTGAAAAATATTCATAATACTTCTAACTGTAAAGTAGATATGTTGTCACAGGGCTATGAGATATCTCTGCTGTGGATTCTCAAGGGGAATGTGATATTTGTATTTCCAAGTTTGTTTCTGTGTGGGAGTATATGTACATAGGGATGAAAAAGAAGAAGACAGTTAACCAAGGAGCCAGAGTGATAAATTAGCTTATTTGAATTAGTTAAAGCATATTTTTCTGTGAAAATTTCCAACCAAAGGTTTTATTAAGGCCTTTGGAAAATTGGATTGCTTACAGAAACAATGATCTTGGCTGAGGAAATATCCCAATCAGAATATGCTATTTCAGTGTACTCTTGGTTTCCTTTGACAGAAAAGAAATCAGCAAGAGGATGACTGAGTGCTAGTTCAAGACCAAGTTAAAGAGGAATCCATGACTATTCAGGAGGCTGCTCAAAGGCCACAACTTCCCAGTGACCCTAATGGGTGGAGTAGGAGTGGACAGTGTGGAAATCAGCAGCTTTTTATATTCATGTATATTCACCTGGAAAAAAATGGAGGGACTTTACTACTTGTAAAAATAACATAATAAATAAATCTTAAACATAGGAAACCATACTGTTCTGATAATAAAGTAACTTTTTATGAAATTCTTTACTCTTCTGGCATAGTCTGTTTAGATTTATCTGTATTTCTTATACTGCCTTTTTTTTTTTTTTTTTTTTTTTTCCCCTAATGAGATGGGGTCTCACTTTGTTGCCCAGGCTGTCCTTAACTTTTGATCCTCCTGCTTCAACCTGCTGAGTCTCTGGGATTATAGGCATGTGCCACTGTGCTGGGCTTATGTTGCTACTTTCATACCTGTCAAGTAGGTGGGCAAATTTGTATTTATTATACAGAAATAAATTATTTCTTAATCATTACTTTTCCATTTAAAAATATAGTTTTAGCCAGATGCAATAACCCATGCCTGTAATCCCAGTGACTTGGGAGGTTGAGGCAGGAGGATTGCCAAGTTCAAGGCTAGCCTTGGGCAGCTTAGTGAGACCCTCAACAACTTATCAAAACCCTGTCTCAAATAAAATAAAAAAGAACTAGGGATGTAGCTCAGTGGTAGAGCAAAAAAGTAAAAACAAAAAATAGAAACTTACATTACAATAGAAAATATTTTTCCAAACTTGAGGAATTTCATATAATTTCCTTCAAGTTTAGCTTCAGTTTGGGTGTAGCTACAAGAGTAGAGACTTCTCAAACTACCAAATAACCATTAGTTTTTTAGTACATTACAGCTACCCTAGTGTGTATTGGTAAAACTACCACAGATTTAATTATAATTTTGGCTTAAAAAAAAAAAAAGTATTAGAATTTTTTTCTTTTCTTTTTTTTTTGGTACTGGGGATTGAATTTTGAATTCAGGGGGCACTCAACCACTGAGTCACATTCCCAGTCCTTTTTGTATTTTATTTTGAGACAGGGTCTTATGAGTTGCTTAGCACATTTATTTTGCTGAGGCTGGCTTTGAACTCGCGATCCCCCTGCCTCACCCTTCTGAGCTGCTGGGATTACAGGCATGTGCCACTGTGCGTGGCAAAATATTTGAATTTTAGGCGAGGTAGAGTCACTTTTTTAGGCCACCATTCCAGTAATTATTCTTCAGTGCCCTAAGTGATGATTATGATGATATCAATGATACTTAATTTACTGAGGACTTACTGTCTGCTAAGAGAGTGTGAAGAATATAGACATTACAGTCTCCCAGGGTTTCTATCTAATGTCCTATCAAAGAATATTGTACTCATTGCAGGTGTGTTTCTCAATGGTTAAGAACACACAGAGACTAGGTAGGGATATTGCTCAGTGGTAGAGTGCTTGCCTAGTGTGGGGAAGCCCTGGGTTCCATCCTCAGCATTGCAAAAAAACAAAAACAAGTTTTGCCACCACTTGTAGGAAGATAGAGAAAAGTGGAGCAAAGTTTTCTCTTTCTTTGCATTTAAGACAAATTTTTGTAATGATGAAAAATAGAGTTTATTTTTGGGTTATCTCAAACCATAGTTTTTTTGTACTTAACACTTGGTTTTTTGGATTCAGTATACAAATGCCTTTCAGAGACCAATTGTTTAGGTTACAGGTACTTCAAAAATATTTCTCTCTCTCTCTTTTTTTTGGTACTGGGGATTGAACTCATGGGCACTTGACCACTGAGTCACATCCCCAGCCTTATTTTGTATTTTATTTAGAGACAGGGTCTCACTGAGTTGCTTAGTGCCTTGCTTTTGCTGAGGCTGGCTTTGAATTCGCGATCCTCCTGCCTTAGCCTCACGAGCCGCTGGAATTACAGGCGTGCACCACCATGCCCAGCTATATTTCTCTATTTTTAAACTGTTCATGGGCATTAATCCATGGTAAAAGGAATTACTATCATGAGTTGACTTAAGGTTAGCTATGGAAGCTGACTTTGTCAAGATTGTACTTTACCAGAGTGAGAACAACAAGTGTAAATGCAATTGATACCAATGGGAAACATTCAGACTGCATAGAATAAAAAGACCTAAGCAAAATTTGGCAGATAATTAATAAATGATACATTTCATAATATAAAACTCATTAAGCTTTTGCATTAGTTTTCTTGAGAAAATTTTGGAGTTCAACTCCCACTGTGCTTTTTTTTTTTTTTTAAATAAACACAATACCTTTAGTTTTATTTATTTGGTTGTAAATGAACACAATACCTTTAATTTTATTTATTTTCATGTGGTGCTGAGTATCAAACCCAGGGCCTCACACATGCCAGGCAAGTGCTCCACCACTGAGCCACGCTCAGCCCTCCCACTGTGCTTTTAAAAATGTGTTTTTGGTACATTGTTTCCTCAGTCTATTTAATTTTAATTGATTATCCTGATATTAGTAATTATATTAGGACAATATGTAGGAAATATATTCATCTGAATTCAAATATCATTCTGCCTGCCTGAAGATTAGTTTTGAATTTTTTTTCTTTTTTAAAATTTTGTATTTGTTCTTTTTAGTTATATGTAACAATAGAATGTATTTTGACATATCATACATACATGGAGTATAATTTCCCATTCTTGTGGTTGAATGTGATGTGGAGTTACACTGGTCATGTATTTATATAAGGAAATAGGAAAGTTATGTCCGATTCATTCTGTTGTCTTTCTTATTCCTATTCCCCTCTCCCTTCTCTTCATTCCCCTTTGTCTAATCCAATGAACTTCTATTCTTCCCTCTCTGCCCTTCCCTCTGCTTAGTTCAAATTAGCATCTGCTTATCAGAGAACATTCAGCCTTTCGTTTTTAGGCACTGGCTTATTTCACTTACCATGATACTCTCCAGTTCCATCCATTAACCAGCAAGTGCCATAATTTCATCCTTCTTTATGTTTGAATATTGTTCCATTCTATATACCACATTTTCTTTATCCATTCATCTGTTGAAGGACACCTAGGTTGGTTCCATAGCTTATCTACTGTGTATGAAGCTGCTACAAACATTGATGCAGCTGCATCAATATAGTATGCTGATTAAGTCCTTTGGGTATAAGCCCAGGTGTGGGATAACTGGGTCAAATGGTGATTTCATTTCAAGTTTCCTGAGGAATCTCCATTCTGCTTTACAGAATGGTTGTACCAATTTGCTGTCCCACCAGCAATATACAAGTGTACCTTTTTCACCACATCCTTGCCAACATTTGTTACTTGTATTCTTGATAATTGCCATCCTGACTACAGTGAGATGGAATCTCAATGTAGTTTTAATTTGCATTTCTCTAATTGCTAGAGATGTTGAACATTTTTTATGTATTTATTGATAGATCATATTTCTTCTGTGAAGTGTCTGTTCAGTTCCTTTGCCCATTTATTAATTGATTAAGTTTTTTGAGTTCTTTGTATGTCCTGGAGATTAATGCTATATCTGAGGTATAGGTAGCAAAGATTTTCTCCCCTTCTGTAGGCTCTCTCTTCACATTCTTGGTTGTTTACTTTGCAGTGAAGAAGCTTTTTAGTTTGATTCCATCCCATTGGTTGATTCTTGATTTTACTTTTTGTGCTTTAGAAGTTTTGTTGAGGAATTTGGTTCCTAAGCCAAGATGATGGAGATTTAGGCCTGTGTTTTCTTCTAGTAGGCACAAAGTCTGTGGTCTAATGCCTAGGTCCTTGATCCACTTTGAGTTGAGTTTTGTGCAGAGTGAGAGACAAGGATTTATTTTCATTCTGTTACATGTGGATTTCCAGATTTCCCAGTACCATTTGTTGAAGAGATTATCTTTTCTCCAATCTATGTTTTTGGCGACTTTGTCTATTATGAGGGAACTGTGTGGGTTTGTCTCCGTGTTTCTATTCTGTACCATTGGTCTTGAGGTCTCTTTTGGTGCCATTTTTGTTACCATAGCTCTGTAGTATAATTTAAGGTCTGATATTGTGATATCCAAAAAGGCTTTATTTATCATTTGGTCAATTTACTCTTCTGTGTCCTTAATAGCAGGCCTTACCAGAAAATTGAACCTGACAGAAACTTATTCTTGGACTTCCTAGTCCATAGGACTGTGAGACAATAAATTATTATTATTTATAAATGATCCAATCTTGTGTATGTTGTTAGAGCAGTACTAGTGAGCTTAGACACATAAGAATATGGGCATTTTCTGTTAAGTTTGTGCTCATTTTTATTACTAGAAGATAGATTTATTTTGATTATTTTTATTATTTAGATGAAAGTCAAAATTTATATTCAGAAATTTTAGCAAGAGTCTTTGAGATATATTTTCATTCATTATATATTCATTTAAATCATAACTATGACCATCAATGTATTAAACATTAATATTTTTTTCTAGAAACAAGGTTGACATGTTAACGTATGTTCCTGTTGTCATGACAATTCCAGCAAGATATTTTCTATGTATATAGGAAAAAAGTAATTTGTCAGTCAAATCATTGACTTGATTTTGAACAAAATATGAAAGAGAGTCCACTAAAATTCATATTTTCTACGTTGTTTATATCCATAAAAATATTTTAGGGTTTCTTGATTGGAGGGAATGGTTTCTATGTGCTGAATTTTTTGATTTTTTTTTTTTTTTAATTTTCAAAACAAATCATTAGTAATTCTCCTTCACTGAGAGTATAGAGTTCAAATGATTTTCTTCAGTCTCTCCTTCAACTGTCATTTCCAAGATTGAGTGTTGTTGTGGATTGATTATGAGGTAACCCCCCAAAACTCCTTGATATTCTGCCATCCTCAAACATGGCTTATATCTCATGGTTTAGTTTCTTCTTGCTCCATCCCTTACATCTGTGTTCTAGCCAGGTTTCAGAGGTTTCAATCCATAGACAGCCAGCTCCATTCCTCAGGGCTCCAGGTGAGACAGGAATAACATGGCAGAAGAGTGTGGCAGAGGGAAGCAGCTTACTAGTGATCAGGAAGCAGAGAGAGGTTGAATTGCCTTTTTATTTTATGGGTTTAGCTGTTCTCTTTGAAGTGTCAGTTTTGGACTTGAATCTGGAAAATGAATGAATACATGATTCCTGAAATTCTGCCTTCTGAAGAGAAAACTCAGTGCCGTTGACTTTGAAGGTGGATGAACATGTTTACTGTGCACTGCAGGCAGTGACATGTTGCCTGGGCCTCC